AGGTAGGGATGGGAAAATGGGAGAGTCCTCCTGAAAAGGTCTGGTGGCCACCAGTTTTGTTAGTTTTTATATTCAATTATTAGTTAAAGTTGATTGTCAATTCATCGATGAATTGTTGTTGCTTTTTTGTGATCTTAATCATAGCCCCTTCTTTGGTCTGTTTTTTGTATTTAGCAACTGATCTATAACGTTTGCCATCAACTTTGGTATCGTAATAGAGTAACTTATTCATTGGATCATCTTTGATATTGATTTTATCACCAAACTTCTGGCGCAGTCAATTTGCGCTTGATGTTTGTATTCAATTTTGACTGTCTGTTTAGGGACTGATTGTTGAGTAAACGGTCCCCATATTTTACACTATAATATCTGATGTATTCGGCTTCCACTCTGTTTAATTCTTGACGATCCTTACAAGGTGCGCGTATTATTGGTGTGATCACTGGGTTATCTTTCTTGTATGGATATACTGCACTTGATTTTTGTAGTCATGTGTTCATTGAGCCGCTCTTGTAGATTACGTGTTGAGCATCCAACATACAGCTTATTATTGTGTGCGAATGTTATCTTGTAGACTTGGCCGTTGTGATACTCATCATTAAAGTAACTATTCACTGTAACAGTTAGTGGCGGTATTCTGATTTCATATTCAGGGTTCAATTTCGCTGTATCGAGATGGATGTGATCTAACTTCGTCGTTCTGGATAACGCTGTATAAAGCTGTTTCTTGTCCATCTTCTCCACATCATAAACGTTATAATGTTGGTCTATTGTTCCCCCCTGATATTTGTACACTGTAACGCAGAATGCTGGTATAAACGATTCGCGGAACTCGTTGTGACTGAATGTTTGTCCATTGTGCGTAAATTCTAGATCGCCTATATCGTTCTCGTTAATGCTGTCAATATTATACTGCTGCATATTATACATTTCTTTATTGCGCATATTCTTTGTAACCAACATCGGCATATTAACTGCTACCCTATATCTCTCCTTTGGTCCCTTATACTTAAATTCGATCTCATAATATTCTTTATTTTCAGTAAATCTGTTACAGCATTCTTGCGTAACGTGCCGCCTTGTTTTATTCAGATAGCAAATATTATGGTAACTGTCGATTGGTGGAATAAATTGGTGGTTAACAGTACCACTCTCAAGAAACTCATTCAATTAATCCCTTGCTTGAAGATCGTAACGAGCATATTTTTCGATGTACTTCATTTTGACGCGTCGTGGACACATCTCAGTTATTGGCACCGATTTGAAATAATCATAAAACATGCCATGAGGTTCAACAGGGTCACATTGATTAGTATCACCGAACATGTAAATTGTGAGCTTATATTTAGTGAATGCCTAATAGAGCTTCGTCATCCACTTATTGGGGGTCATAGAGTATTCGTCCACGAATATTGTTTTGCCCTCTAGTGCTGTTATGTCACGCCCGTGATGATCACAAAAGAATAGATCAAATGTATGACACTTCTTGGCTAATTCATAATTATTGTACACATCACATAGCACCGATTTTACATTCTGTATGGCATTATTAGTAAATGATAGGATTATGGGGCCATCAGGTGCTAGTGCCTTTTAATATAATCGAAACAAAAATAGGTGTAATTATCGGGATTAAAATTCTCCTTGTAATGTTTCTCAAAATATACAGCCGGGCTATCAGTTTGGAATATTTGCCCAATACTATCTGTTGTAAATTTGACATCTTTCTTGTTGGGGTATTGGTTTTTAGGATTAGTCATAAATACGCTATCAGTGTTGATTGCATACACTTGACTGATTCCATTGCTGTTAATATCGTGACTCGCATTGTCATGTAACATGTTCAGACATTTCAATATGGACTGAGAGATAACAAAGCCATTATTGATGTATTGTCAGAGAATATGTGCTCAATTTGACGCTCTCTGATTAGATATAATTCTTGTTTAGTGTTTGGATTCTGATAACTGTCTATTACCACGTCACGATTCTCAGCAAGAGCAGATTTCCAGATGCACTGTGCTGTATCGAGTGAACTACATGTAAATCCATGATCTTTGCGGCTATATTTTCTACCCAGTTCGCCGATGTAACTCTTTGTCAGTAATTTGGCTTGAGATTCTGGGAACATTGAGAATGTCGCTAACATGTAATTCTTGAATGTATCCGGGGCTAATGTTTTACGTGCTTGGATACACCATTTGACATTATAGGTGGGCATCTTAAACTTTGTGATCAATGTGCGTATCGCCGGTTCGCTATAGCAACCAGCTTCAATTTTGACCCCTTTTCCTAGTCGTTTGTCGATGACATATTCATCGATATAGTATTGGCCAGTCTTAAATAGACCATTAAAGGGCTCGATAATATCATGTATACTATAAAGGGGAATAGGTGTTTCATTGTTAATCAGTATAGAAAGATAACATTTTGAGATATCTAATGACACTAGATTATCAGGTGCTGGGTCAGTTGAACACCATTGTGATGCCCGAGGATAGAAATCATCTAAGACTTCTCGTGTTTTGGTGTCATATTGTAAATCGGGCAAATAGCCTCTCATGTGTTTAAATAATGATGATGCCAATGAAGTATATGACTGATTGCACCAAATAAAATAATAAGATTTTTATATTTTGTATAGCAACTCACAGATTGATTTACGGTTTTCATACTCGTTATTAAGAACGTACATGTTATTCTTGTGATCCATAAAGCCATCTAATCTGCCATTGTTATCGTAATATAAATACTCGACAAAATAATTAGTCCTGATCATATACTCTTCAATTATGGGTTCTATTTTTGTGTCCGGCGGTAACACGATTACGTGATTCTTGATTGTCGATAGTGTTGGTTTGTCCTTTTTAGCAACAGTGTCATCGTCTACCAGATCTTGATACATGATGTAATTAATCGATTTATTGGACCATTTTATATCTATCATATACTTCCATAATTTGTCGGCGCCACCTTGGTTAGCTTGCGTAGCAATATGTTTGAGGTGGTTATCTTGAATGGGATACAGATGATGGTCTTTGATATAGAATACAAGACAGATTGACGGTTTAATACTTGCAATATGTTTCATAAATTTGCGCCATGATGAGTCATAAACGTGGATTGATACATTTGGATGACATGCTTTAGCCCAATCAATTAACTCTTGTGTTGACATCATTGGAAAGCTGGCTGATCCATAAATTTCCAATTCGTCACTTAATTTTTGATACGTATATTTCTTGAATCGCTTCTTACCCTGGCAGTTA